GAGGGAACGAGTCGTAGAGTACAGCGTGGACAGCTAGAAGTGCTGAAACTTTATCAACTTAACATATAGCCTTAGCGCTCGCAACGACATTTAAGTCACCATTAAACATGCTGAGCTTACTTCAAGGCAAAAATGACACATTTTCCCTGTTTATGAGCACGCATTTACACATCTTTTTGCGAGAAAGATCCGTCAGTCGGAAGCGATAGTTGATCGCTACTTAATGCAGTTTGTGAGTGAATTACGTCTGCTCAAGCAGTGCTTACAAAACCGTCCGTTTGTACCTTACAACCGTGCGGTCGCTTAACCCAGATCTGGAGGACATTTCGCCTCGACCGCTCTAGATGTCATGATTGATTTTATCAACTGGGTGGCAAGTCTTCGAATCCCCGGGTCCTTTGATGAAACTCCTGTGGTATGTACCCATGAAAAGAAATGCCGTTTGGCGAATACTTAAATAAATAAATAAATACTTTATTCTCGACTATGCGAGGCACGCCCATGGAGGCATGATCAGATATGTACAACTGTACAAACATTTTATGGCAACTGTGACAGTAATCGTAGAAAATTGGTCGTATGTCCATGATAAAATAAATAAATAGATAGTTTATTCTCAGTTTCATAGAGACGCACCAACTTAGGCATGATCAAGGTTTAAAAACTGTTGTGTATCACGATGATACTCCGGGTTCAATCGTGTGTAGTTGAAACGGTGTCAGGAAGAGTTGATATGTGAATCTAGTCGACTTGCCAGTATGTAGTTGTGGGCTGTGACTTTATTCAGTGGCGAGTCACATCCGCCACGTCGCAGTGTTGTTAAACAGACATTTGTGGCTTTTTATAGGGAGAACGCTTGCCAGGCGAAAACCCACCACGTCCTGCAACACTGCCGTAAAGCATTTTGAACATTAATGTTGAACTGGCAAAGCCGCTTGACGACTGGTTTCACCTTCGGTTTTTCGCGGGGTAATGGCTTCTAATTTCCTCTGTTAGTTGGACGGGTATTTTGATCGGGGTCGCCATGATTTTTGAGGTCGGTGAAGGAGAGGGACATCGCGATTTTTCTTCTTGTTGTATGTCCAGGTGAGCAAAAGTTTCAAATTTTCCGCTGTCCAGATTTTTCAGATGTATAATGTATGGGAGTATGAGGATATGTCCAGTTCTCCATACTGGACAAGGGTTATGGTGATTGTAGGTCGGTCCTTGCGGAGTTTTACCATCCTCCATGTCAGTCCTTGTGGGTTGTTACGTCCGTCTTGGGCTAAAACTGTTCCTGACTCCAATCCCAGATCTCCAAGATGTCCCGGACCTCAGAGAAAAGGGAAAGTGAGGGACACAACCGAGAGAAGACCGCAAGAACAGGCATGGAGGCACTTTGGATTACCACGATGTACGTCAGCGTAATCTTTATTGGGCCCTCCATTGGTTGGTATAAAATGGATGACGTCCAACGGAAGTAGTTGCAACGATTCTTAGGTGCCTCACCTACGCATACATATCCCTGGACGTAAAGAGAGCAGTTTAACGAATTCTCTTCCAGGAACGCAATGGTCGTGTGCTGGTACGGGTCAACCTGAGTTAACTCGACGGTTTCGCTTTTCGTACATGCTACTCGGTGGTTTGATTTAGCAAAGCTATTTTCAGGTTTTTTCGTAGTGGCTTCTGGAACAAACATTAGAAGCCTTTGCACCTTAATACGATTCATCAGTAATGAGCATCCTACGACCCCAATCTGAACCGAGCTCGTTAACTCTCCATGCTAACTACTTATATCTTACAGAGAACCGTGATTCTGGAGACCAAGGCTGTCTCCTAAGAAGTTCCTAAATTGGATGGCAATAAGGGGGGAAGAAGCAGGTGCCCAAACTGACCAAAATTCACTTCAAGACGTATCTCGACCTTGGCTGAGAGTGCGTGTCGTAATCAAAACATAAAATCTGACCCGTGGTTTCGTTTCCTTTCGGATTTCATGCGAGAATAATTTTTTGACAGGCTCCAGCCGCAGTCGGTTGGTCAACGGTCAGTTTATACATGTTTGTTTCTGGAGTGCATAAAACTATACCTCCTGGGAACTCAGTTGTTCGTAAACATTCACTCGAGTATGGCACTCGGTGCCTATGTGACGCAGGGTGAACCGGAATACCGCGCAGACATGAGCGTCCAACGTGAGTCACATTTACGGACTATACACACACTACATAACCCGTCCACTATTTTTGATATGTGCACACCCCTAGAAATTAAAGGTCAATCTACAGCACACTCACCGTTGTACACACACACACACACACACACCGTATGGGACAGTGAATTGCGGACAAACAGGCGCCAACACCAGCTACATCAGCCGGTGGACAGGGCAACAAAGTTGTCCTCTCAAGCGCTTCTGTGTGTGATTGCTTACCTATTACGCCGGTGGTCATCGTATCAACGGACAATCAAACACCGGCGCATAGTGTTTCACGTATGCACCCACCTTCCAGGTACGAAGTCGCCACCAACATGGTATAGGCGATTTGTTATCACCCCGACTTCTGTCATCTGAGCACGAAACATAAGCAACTGGGTTGTCACGACTGCTGTTGGTGGGCTGCCGGCGCGTTTAACTGTGATGAATTAATTTATAATAGCATTGAGGATAGCGTCTCCAGTTCCATCAACGTTTACTCAAGCGACTGATAGAAATGTGTTAAGCCAGCTGAACAAAAAATGAACAGCCAATCTGCAGCGCGCACAACGTTGTATGCACAGCGTCTGCAACAGTGAATTATGGCATAAACAGGCGCCAACCCCTTTTAATTGAACCGATGGTGGACACGGTGAGTTGGTTCACTCAAGCGGTTCTGTGTGTATTCGTACCTAGTACACGGGTGGTCGCAGTATCAGGCGGCGAGCACACACAGGCGTGTGGCATGTTGCGTATTTAGACCCACCTGCCTTGTTCGACCTGCGCGCCTACGTGGTACCGGCGCGTTTTTATCACCCACTCCGGCTGTTCGCGCATTCCGCACACTGACTTCGGCCATCTGAAGATGAAACATGGGCGATTAGTAGTAGTAACAGCTGTCCAGTGCACAGCCGATACGTGAATGTCAGTCAGATGGTGCTGATAGTGTTATCGATAGGACCACAAGTCTATGGACGTTTGGCAGTGGTACTGACCGAAATAGTGTGGGGTGGAGTTGGACCCAGGCGCAAAGGGGATTTGATTGGCACAAAAGCGAAGCTCGTCCGAAGAGGGAGTGTAACAGGGTCGGTGTGCGCCGCTGGGTTAGTTTTGGTGTAGTTGTTGTGGATGGTTGTTGTGGGATGGTGTTAGTTCTGGATAACTCTCTTCGTTGGGAAACCAGATCAAAAGTATCTACAGGGTGCCGAAATTTTTGACGAATTGTAGGGTAGCCCGAAATGTAGCGAGGAGATTGGATGGACCGCGGAGATGGGAGGATGGTCAAGGAAGGGCTGTTTGCTGCTTGTCTTCTGTTATGTGGTCAAGGGATGTCTGTTTCTTTTTGTCTGGGGTTCTGGTTCCTGTTTTTTCTGTGCTGATGTTCGTGATAGCTGTGGCTTTTGGGTTATATCCTTCATCCACCCTGACTGGACCAGGTTTCTTACAGGTAGACGGCGCGACTGTTGACCTGAAAAACCACGTCCAACTCCCCAAATAGCATAGCAAGTCTTTTTTTTTGCTTGCCATTCCTGCCCTTGGCCTCTCTGTTTTTATTCGCGCGTCCCTCTCGTCATCAGCGTAGGATCCCTCTCGGAAGCAATTTTTAAAAATAAAAATAATAAGAAAAGAAAAAAAAACAAAAAAGATAATAAGATTAACGGTTATTCATTATAAGAATCCTTCTATCTATGCCCCATATAATGTGGGAAGTTTTGCCATCTACGAAGTCGAGTAGGAGAGCTTTAGCGGTCACGTCAGCCAGGTTTTTTTCGCATAGAATCAGTTTTAGTAGGCTTTAGACAAGAGTAGAGACATGCACAAAAATACTAGGATCGAAGTTAAGGTTTTTTTTGTAAAGTTAGTTTGCTCATGCAGACACTGGGGGGAACAAATGGCAGAAAAAGAAAGAGAAAGAAGACAATCAAAAGAACAGAGCAAATACAAAAGAGGGAAAGAAGAGCACAGGGAGAAAAGAGCTAGAGACAAGAAAGGCACGCTAGGGATTAAGGGGATTAACACCCCAAAAAGTGAACGCGGAGGACGCGAGGGATGGCACTCAGCGGACGAGCAGGGGTTTGCGTTAAGGGGCGAAGGAAGAGCTTGCTGCGTGCTAACTCAATCTATAAGATTGTCCGGTTTTGTGTTGAGGAAAGAAGTGAGCTCCAGTATTTCGGTTGTCAGGCAAGCGAATGAACGTGATACTTGTTAGTGAGTGTTCAGTACGCTCTTCTGCATGATGTTTTGTTCGCGAAACCCACAGATGTAGAGTCTCCAAAGCCAAACTGTGGAAGATGACAGCACTACCGTCAGATCCACAACGTGGCAGGAAACCGAATCATCTATGTGCTTTGAAACCATCGATGAAATATAATGCCGAATAGGCAGGCGTTAATATTCGTCTATCTATCAATTCGGGTAATGTGAACTGTTCAATAAGATGAAAGGGTGTAGAAACACCACACGATTTGGGACTGGGCCAATTCCGTGATATACAAACTGGTTGAGAGAGGGAGGAAGGAGACAGGAAAGGAAAAAATTGGAGGAGAAGGAAATACGGTTTTTTTGTTTTTTTTTTTTTTATTTTTTTTTTAAATATTCGGTTTTTTTTTGTTGTTTTTTTTTGTTTTTTTTTTTTTTTTTTTTTTTGTGTTTTTTTTGACCTTACCGAAACGACCCCCCGACCAACCCATCTACACTGGGTTGCATCGTGGTGGGTGACCCGGATGGCCGAAATGATACCGAATTGTTTTCGTTGCAAGGCTTCACGGATGGTTTATAGTGATGGAGGTCGGTTTTTTTTTATGTTTTTTATTTCTTGCTTTGCGACAAGTCTACCATGCTTTATATTCTTTGTTGTGTCTTGGGCGGTGAGGGTGCTACGTTGGGCCAGCCGGTGGGGGGGGGGGGGGGGGGGGGGCGGGGGGGATCTGGGGGGGGGCTTCTGCGGGGGTTAGGATGCAGGAAGTGGGGGGGGGGGGATTGAGCA